TTATTAATAATAAATGCAATAATAATATTATTATACTGGATTTATATAGCGCCATCAGTTTGTGCAGCGCTTTACAATACAAATCAAGACAAGATTATAAGGGATAAGTTGAATCTTCTGTTAGGTTTTTATTTCTCTCAGTAGAGTGCAGAAGCGCCCCTCTCTATAAATTACTATTATAAAAAAACATCCTCCATGCGCTGGCTTAGCCCAATAGAAATGTGTGTAGCCCAATAGCAAGTCACGCCTTTAGCTGCTCTGTTTTTACACATATTATTCATAATTATTCAGTTATGACGACTTTATTATGCAAATAATATCAAAATATACCAAAATCAAGAAAAAGAAACAAAAAGCACAAAAAAAAAAACAAAAATACCAAAAAAACTTCACCCACCCGGCATTTTTTATAGTTGGTGACTGGTCACTTTAAGCTTTTGGCTTGAGATGGCTCCTGAGGGTTACAGAAGCTCCTATTCAACTATCCTGGGCCTGTTCTTGTCTGTCCCCCTGGCAGCTACATAGGAGGTTAGGAAGTAAAGGGAGGGGCAGAGGAGCTGGGCCAGTACAGACAGGGCTTTGACATTGCAAGAAGGGGAAAGGGGTGGGGGGCGCGTTCAAGTGTGGACTCTTATCGGAGTAGTAACATTTTCTAGCAAATTTAAAGGCGAATTGTATAGTAATAAAAAAAAGATTTATGGAAAGGAAAATAAATAATCATGTAAAATACTAGATTTGTTCTGTGCTTTCACCTGCAGTTTTTTTTTAAGTTGGTGACAGGGTCTCTTTAACAGCTGTGGCTACTAAATCCACTTATTCAACTTGCAGTGAGTTAACCCCTGCCCTGTCAGATGGCTCCAGACACACCTCCCTTCCTGGGCAGGCTCACCTCCATTCATGCTGATTTAATGAATGAGCTGTATCATGTCGGGCAGCAGATGTGGCTGTCCCCGAAGGCCGCTTTGCATCCTCCAGCTGGGAGTAACAAGTTGTGTCAGTGATCACCAGAGCAGGAAGCAGCGGATCCGGTACATATGGCACCATGCCGATTCATAAACAAGGCACGTGTCATGACATATAAGACCTTCATCTGTAACTGCAGCCTGCGTCTGACAGTGTAAGGGCCGCATAGATCTGTGTGCGGCTCCAGAAAACAAAAATAATAAATCCC